AACTGTAGAAACATTGGTTAGGTTACAGCAAGAATATCGTGTGCAATCCTGTAATCTATATTGTAGGTCGGATGTGATGGTACTGGAGAGGGGTCAGAGGAGCTTTACCAGGATTTTGCCTGGATTGGAGAGTTTCAGTTCTCGAGAGAGATTAGACAGACTGGGGTTGTGAGAGGGACATGATTGAGAGGGAGAAAATTATGAGGGACATAGACAGGGTAGACAGGAAGAAACTTTACCCCTTCTTGGGGGAATCAATGGTGGGGGGTATAGATTGAAGGTAAGGGGCAGAGGTTTAGAGGGGATGCGAACAAAATTTTTTTTCACTCAGAGGGTGGTGGGAATCTGGAGCTCAAGGCCTGTCAGGGTGGTAGACGCAGGATTGAGAGCTGCCATTAGCAGCTTATCTCATCACTAAGACCCAGCCTGTGCCAGCTTACCAGTGAAACATCATGACCAACAAAGGCTGATGAAGGAATGTTCCTGCATTGAAGTAGCTCCAGGTGGGCTCTGTAAATCATGACCTTGTATTCGAGTGCTGGGAATATAAGGAGCAGGCTTCTATTATTTTGTTGCTTTTCGTGAATGATTGCTATAAATTCTGTTTTGGTCATTGGTGAAGCCTCTTCTAGAGTACTGTGTCCAGTTCTGGTTGCCCTGTTATAGGAAGGATATTATTGAGCTGGAGAGGGTTCAGAAGAGATTTACCAGGATGTTGCCAGGAATGGAGAGTTTGAGTTGTAAGGAGAGGCTGGATAGGCTTCTACTGGAGCATAGAAGGCTGAAGCGTGACCTTATAGAGGTTTATAAAAACATGAGGGGTATAGATAAGGTGAATGGCAGATGTCTTTTCCTGAGGGTGGGGGATGTTAAGACTAGGGGACATATATTTAAACTGAGAGGAGAAAGATTTAAAAAAGATATGAGGAATTATTTTTTACATAGAGAGTGGTTTGTGTGTGGAATGAAGTTCCAGAAGAAGTGATGGATGCAAGTATGGTTACAGCATTTAAAAGACATTTGGATAAGTACATGAAGAAGAAATGTTTGGAGGAATATGGGCCAGGAGCAGGCAGGTGGGACTAGTGTAGTTTGGGATTATGGTCAGCATGGACTGGTTGGACTGAAAGATCTGTTTCCATGCTGTATGACTCTATGATGCATTCACACTCACACTGTCTCTCAATCTCACTCACATTCTCACTTACAGCCTCTCATTCTCACTCACACTGTCTCTTGTTCTCACTCACACTCTCTTGTTACCACTCACATTCTCACTCAAACTGTCTCTCAGTCTCACACATTCTCAATCACACTGTCTCTTGTTCTCACTCACATTCTCATGCACTGTCTCTCAGTCTCATGCACATTCTCATTCACACTGTCTCTTATTCTCACTCACACTTTCTCATTCTCACTCACACTGTCTTATGTTCACTCACATTCTCACAAACTATGTCTCCCATTCTCACTCACACTGTCTCTCATTCTAACTCTCATTGTCTCACATTCTCACATATTCTCACACACACTGCCTCTCAGTCTCACTCATATTCTCACTCACACTGTCTCTTACGCTCACACATTCTTATGCATACTGTCTCATTCTCGCTCACATTCTCATTCACACTAGCTCTTATTCCCACTCATACATCTCTTGTTATCACTCACATTCTCACTTACACTGTGTCGTTTAGTTAATCACACTGTCTCTCAGTCTCACACATTCTCACTCACATTGTCTCTTGTTCTCACACATTCTCACTCATGCAGTCTCTCAGTCTGACTCACATTCTCACTCACACTGTCTCTCTACTCTCATGGTCTCTCATTCTCATACATTCTCACTCACACTGCCTCTCAGTCTCATTCATATCTCACTCACACTGTCTCTCACTCTCACTCACATTCTCAAGCATACTGTCTCGTTCTCACTCATTTTCATTCACACTGTCTCTCATTCTCACTCACGCTGTCTCTCAGTCTCATGCACAAAATATGTCACACTATCTCTCATTCTCACTTACACTTTCCATCATTCTCACTCACCGTCTTGCTCTCACTCACATTCTCGTACACTGTCTCTCTTTCCCCCTCGCATTCTCACTCACACTGTCTGATTTTCTCTCACATTGTCTATTTCTCACACTGTCTCTCATTCTCACACAGTCTTTCAATCTCACTCACACTGCCTCTACATCTCACTCACAGTCTCTCTGTCTCATTCACATTCCTACTCACAGCCTCTTATTCTCACTCACATTGACTCTCATTCCCACTCAAATTTTCACTCACACTGTCTCTCAGTCTCACACACATTCTCAATCAGACAATCTCTCAGTCTGACTCACATTCTCACTCACCCAGTCTCTCAGTCTGACTCACATTCTCACTCATACTGTCTCTCTTTCTCACTCTCATGGTCTCTCATTCTCACTCACACTGCCTCTCAGTCTCACTCATATTCTCACTCACACTCTCATTCACATTCTCATTCACACTGTCTCTCATTCTCATGCACAATCTCTGTCACACTATCTCATTCTCACTTACACTTTCTATCATTGTCACTCTCACTCTCTTGTTTTCACTCTCATTCTCATACACAATTTCTCTCATTCTCACTCAGTCTTGCTCTCGTTCACATTCTCGTACACAGCCTCTCTTTCCCACTCGCATTCTCACTCACTGATTTTCTCTCACACTGTTTCTCATTCTCACTCACACTGTCTCTCATTCTCTTTCACGCTGTCTCTCATTCTCACAGTCCCTCAATCTCACATGCCTCTCAGTCTCATTCACATTCTCAGTCAGTCTGTCTCACTCACATTCCCACTCACACTGTCTCTTGTTCTCACTCACATTCTCACGCACACTGTCTCTCAGTCTGACTTACATTCTCGCTCACACTGTCTTATTTTGACTCACATTCTCACAATCTGTCATTCTCACCCACACTGTCTCTATCTCATTCACAGTCTCACATTCCTACTCACGCTGCCTCTTGTTATCACTCACATTCTCACTTACAGTCTCTTGTTCCCACTCACGCTGTCCCACAGTCTCACTCACATTCTTACTCACATTGTCTCTTGTTCTCACTCACATTCTCACTCACGCAGTCTCTCAGTCTGACTCACATTCTCACTCACGCAGTCTCTCATTCTCACTCATTCCCACTCTCATTGTCTCTCATTCTTACTCACACTGTCTCTCATTCCCACTCATACTTTCTCTGAGTCTCCCTCACATTCTCACGCACACTGTCTCTCATTCTCACCTGCACTGTCTTGTTCTCATTCACATTCTCACATACAATGTCTCCCATCCTCACTCAAACGGGCTCTCATTCTCACTCACACTGTCTCTCATTCTCATACAAATTCGTGACAGACCGTCCTGCATACTTATTCACATCTATCTCAAGCTTCCTCTCATTCTCACATTACTCACTTTTTCTCCTACACTAATGGGCATTCTCACAGTTTCTCATTCTCACTCAATTTCGCACTCATTCTCATTCACTATTTCTCATCCTTATTCACAATGTTTCATATTCACATTCACATTGTCTCTCATTCACTTCCTCATCACATGATCTCTCATTTTTACTCACTCTCATCCATGCGATTGCTCATTCTCACTCCCACTGTCTCATTCTAACTGAGATCCTCACTTACACTGTACACCCATCTCACCCACTCTCTTTTATTCTCTCAGATTCTCACTCACACTGTCCCCCATTCTCACACATTCACAATCACATTGTCTCTCATTCTCGCTCACATTGCCACATACATTCTCACTCCTCAATCAGACCCTCACTCGCAAAGTTCATCATTCTTTAGCACTGTCTTTCATTCTCATTCACACTATCTCACATTCACACACATTCTCACTCATGCTTTCCATTCTCATGCATTGATTCTCATTCTTACTCAAACTATCACTCATTCTCATCTATACTTTCACTCACTGTTTGTCATTTTCACTTACACTCTTTCTCATTCTCACCTGTCTCCCATTCTCACTCATTTTCTCACTCACAGACTCTCAATCTATCTCACGGTTCTCACTCACTCTACTAAATTTGAAATCATCCTCACGACAAGTGTCTATGAATGTCATGAACTGTCGCTTCCATTATCGTGCACACTGTGTCACATTCACACTTTCACGCCCATTCAGACGGGAGTGCCGCACTGTCAGAGGGTCAGTGCTGAGGGAGCGCCGCACTGTCAGAGGGTCAGTGCTGTGGGAACACTGCACTGTCGGAGGATCAGTGCTGAGGGAGTGGGCACTGTCGGAGGG